GCTATTTCTCACACACCATTCTCCTCCTATTTTTATTAACACGTGTAAAATAATCAAACTGCTACAAATAATAATTGGTGCTGTGTTGATTTTTGTATATGTTAAAAAGCTGAGTAAATAATCTAATTAGTCGGGTTATAAATTCACAGGCATAGACACATATCAACGAATATTTTATGGTACACATTGCATTCAGTGGTGTTGGCACAATGTAATACATTAAATGCAGAAAGGAGTTACCCAACTAGAGAAATGTCATTGCCTTCGGTAAACTTTTGAGAGTAGGAGGAGAACTTCTGGGTTCCCTCAAGGAAATGAAGGAGTCTGTATAACAGAAAGTTTTGGATGGAGCAGATTTGGTGGTCAAGTGACCCTTTTTTTTGTGTTATTTTAAACTGTAATGGCCAGACTTTGCACTAGACCCACATGGAGTGGAGATGGTGTGGCCTGGTGATCAATGAGATTGTCTGCACCTGTGAAATCTACTTGTCTTCCTCAAAATTCTTGAGCCATGAAGGCATTCTGCTCCTAGTCAGATTTTTTTAATGCTTCCCTTCCCCCCCATTAACTATTTATACCTACCTTCTCCCATTTCCACAATACTTCTACCTTGTACCATCTTCCCTTTTTTAACTTGATTATTCCTTCACCCTCCTACTCTTCCTCTGCCTTTGAATTTGATGATAAATAATTAAATCTCTAACCTTTTCAAATCCTGATAAAAGACTGTCAAAATGAAATATTAACTCTATTTCTCTTTCCCCAGATTACGTCTGACTTGTTGATTGTTTTTCTCTGTTTTCCAGCATCCACAGTGGTTTCTATTTAAATGTTCAGTCTCGCTTTGAATCAAATTTCTTTTTCTACCCATTTTGTTTCCCACTTCTGACTGTCAACGGCCTATCTTTTTCAGACTGTCTTAATAGCTCTGTTACAGTTATACAGCATAAAAGTAGGCTGTTCAGACCCTATGTCCATGCTGATCAATAAATGCCAAACTACCCTAATCTTATTTATCTGCACATGGTCCATGGCCTTCCATGCCCTGGCATTTTAAGTGCTGAGAGTACCTGCTTCTGATCAATATCAGACTGCAGCCTGAGACCATCCTCCCCACTATCAGCAACACCACTGATTTATGTGTCATCTGCATTCTTACTAATTATACCTTTTACATTCATACCCAAGTCATTAAAGTATGTAACAAACAGAAAGGGTCCCAGCACCGACTCCTGTGGTACACCGCTGGTCACAGGTTTCCAATCACAAAAGCAACTGTCCACCATCACCTTTTGCCTCCTATTTACAAGCCGATTTTAGATCCAGTTTGCCAACTTATCTTGGATTCTGTGGATTCTTACTTTTCGGGCCAGCTTTCCATATGGGACCTTATCAGAGGCCATGCTGAAATCCATGTAATCTACGTCAACTGCAGTACCTTCATCAATATATTTAGTTACCAAAATACTCAACTGAATTAGTCAAACAGGATCTCCCTGTCACAAATCTGTGTTGACTATTTCTGATTAGTCCCTGCCTTTCCAAGTGTTGATTAGTCCTATCCATCAGAATTTATTCCAATACTTTTCCTACCATCGTCATCATACTAATTGGTCTGTAATTACCTGGCTTATCCCTGCTGCCCTTCCTGAACAAAGGAACCACGTTAGCTATCCCTCAGTCATCTAGCACTTCACCTGTGGCCAGCGAAGTATTAAATGGATCTACCAGAGCCCCAGCAATCACTTCTCTGGCTTCCCATAGCAGCCAGGGATACATCTCGTCAGGCCAGGCTGCTAAAACATCTAATACCTCCTCCTTATTAATCTTAACATGCCCTAGGATCTCACCATTGCAACAGAAATCTCCAGCTATAATGTCGTTCTCCTCTGTGAATACAGATGTGAAGTATTCATTTAAGACCTCAGCAACAGTTTCTGACTCCACACTTAGATTGTCCTTTTGTCTCTAACAGGTATCACTTTTCCTCTGGTAATCCTCTGCTCCTAATATATTTATAAAATACCTGGGATTTTCTTTAATCCTATCTGCTCAAGATATTTTGTGGTCTTCTTTACCCTCTAATTTTTTTTTTAAGCACCCTCTCAACTTTGTGAAGGAGCTCTCCTCTTTTTCTAATGCTCTGTACCTAACGTATGCTTCCTCTTTTTTTCTTTGTCAACTCGATGTCCCTTGATATCCAGTGTTCCCTAGACTGGTTGCCCTTGCCCTTGCCCTTCACTCTTAGAGGGACACACTGGCCCCGAGCTCTCACTGTACTACTTTTAAAAGACTCCCACTTTCCAAATATACACTTAATCTGCAGTCTGTGCTCGTGGTCTGTATTTGATAAATTGTGTATAATGATATTGAAACTGGCTTTCCAACAATTTGGACACTTAACTTATGCACTATTCTTATCCCTTTCTATAAAGACTTTGAAACTTACTGAGTTATGGTCACTATCCCCAAATGCTCCCCATCCCCAAAATGCTCCCCCACTGAAACTTGAATCACTTAACTGGCTTCATTCCTAAGATTAGGTCTAGCTCTTCTCCATCTCTAGTACCTACATACTGGCACAAAGTGCTCTCCTGAGTGCTCTTTAAAAATTCTACCCTATCTAATCCTTTCACACTAAGGCAATCCCAGATATTGTTAGCAAAGTTGAAATCCTCTGGTACTATAACCCTATTCCTCTCACACCTCTCTGTGATTTGCCTACATATTTGCTTCTCTGCTTCTATACGTTGGAATGATGAGCTACCAGTCCCGCCATTCAACCATGTCTCAGTGATTGCAATAATGTCATATACTCATGTGCTAATCAATGTTCTAAGTTCCTCTGCCTTAGCAATCAGATTCCTTGCATTAAAATAGATATAATGTAGCTTTCCAGTCCTCTCATGTGCTTTACCATGTCCATGTCTTCTCCACTTGCTGGACAGGCCCAGTATTCCTTCTACATCTGATTGAACCTTGTTCCTCACTTTAAATCTACTTTACGCCGCATCCCCTTATCAAATTAGTTTAAACCTCCCCAACAGCACAAGCAAATCTCCCAGCTAGAATATTGGACCCATTCAACCATTCCAGTTCAGGTACAACCTGTCCAGTTTGTGTAGGTCCCACTTAGCCCAGAAACTGTCCCAATGATTAAAAAAAATCTAAAGCCCTCCCTCCTACACCATCCCTCTAGTCACGTGTTCATCTAACCGACCTACCTATTTCTATACTGTGTTGCATATTGTGTTACTAATGCATTGCAATTGCAAGTATCAAAATCTTGCTATATTGTAGAAAAACCAACTGGTGCACAAAATAAATACGGAGACATTAACTTTAAGGTGGCATTTTAGAACCTGTAAGATCCATTGGCTGCATGTCCCAATCAATGATCACCCTATACTTTCTGGTAATCATTTACTGCCAGTCCAGTAATATCTTGATTTTAAAATTCTCCGTGTATATAAATCTTTCCACGATCTTGCTGTTGTCTACCAATTCTGACAATGCTTCTATGAAGCTCTTTGGAAAGGTTTACTATGTTAAAAGTGCTACATAAATGCAATGCTGTTGCTGTTCCCTACCCTATAAAGAACACATTGTGAAAAACAGTAAGAGTTTTATAATTGCAAGTCATTGTTTTTGCACGTTATATCTATGACATTCTGAAAACATAGGCAATCTTATTTTCCAGTTTATTCACATTATGTCAATTGCATAATGAACGCTTTGACAGTTGCTAATATTAGCTTGACTATTCTATAGTCATTGATCTTAACCAAATTTTTCTGTCATGTGGAAAGATGGGTTAATCATTCATACAATTGAAGACTATCATTGTTTAGTTTTATAGGATACTTGACCTAGTTCCACTGCAGCCCTGATGTAGATTACAGAATTGAAACTCCAGTGTATGTTTTTGGAACATGTTTAAAAAACGGAGGTCCTCCCTAGCCTCTCAGATCAATGTAAAAGTTCCCATAGCCATTATTTTCAAGAAGTGTGGGGGAGTCCTCCACAATGTTCTGGCAAAAATTAATATCTCAACACCACAAAAAAAAGGATAAATTATGCCATTAATTCATTGATGCTGTGTGCAATTTGACTGCTGTGTTCCCAGATAGCTGGACTTTTTTTTCAGAAGGATAACTAAAAGGACTTTAGGAGATTTTCTTAGAAAACACTTCATGGGAGTCACATTCCTTAAGCTAATTACTTGGACTACCTGGAAATCACATGCCTGAGTTTACGGTTTTAGTTTGGATATCGTTTGGAATCAATTTGGGGCACAGTGCTAACCGAGAACTACCCAGCTCATCCTCTGTCTTTCAGAGAAAATCTTTTTCAATGTAGGACCTATATACTGGGGCAGCTGTTCTCTTGTAAAAGCCTCTGAATTCTCAAAGATTCTCAAACAAGCTGCATTTGAACATCCCAATAACGACCGCCTGTGTTAAGTGTCAGTTATCTGTGTGTGCCAAGATGCTGACTGAAAGCCACCTGGAACATTTTATGCCATATCTTATTTTCCTTCATGAAATAGCTATTATTTAGTCAAAATTTTTGTTTTATTGACAGAATTTGTCTCTGCAGAGAAGGTTTTGTCTTAAGTGTGTGTGTGTGTGTGTGTGTGTGTGTGTCTGTGTGTGTTTAAAACGGTAGATATTTATACTTTCCTATTTCGAACTCTCTTAATTAGCTTTACATTTTTGCCAAATAAGTCAGTAGTTTTGTTTGGTATCAAACAAACTTATTTTTTAAAATTCTGAACCTGATTAAGATGAAGTATTTCGGTAATAGGATAGAGTATTTAAATTTATGTTGTGACTAATGGAGTGATGGGTTAGAGAGATACAGTGCACACCCCAGCCTCAACAGTAGCACTCTTTTTAGAATATGCTAAGGTTATGAATGCAATATATGAATGCACATTTTTCTTTTAGTCATATTTTCCTAACTAGTAAATAAAATGTGTTTTCTTGTATTTTGTTTTCTCTTCACAGGATAAAACTAGAGTTGTTTCTCCAATAATTGATGTAATTAACATGGACAACTTCCAGTATGTTGGAGCTTCTGCTGATCTAAAAGGCGGTATGTACAGTATTAAAGACCTGAGCAACAGTCATGTGCCAAGCAAACAATATTGCCTCTTATTGCCAATTTTTCATTTAAATACAAATTCTATAACCGTAAGATAATCTTGTCCTTTTAAAGGAAAAATAGAAATTACTAGAAATTTTTAGTTGGTCTACAGAAAGAGAAACAGAGCTAATGGGTTAAATTTAGTCCTGCTGTTGTGGTTATCACCGGCATGCCTGGAAGTCATCAGGACTCTGGTGCAATTCCTTGGCGATCAGCTGAATCCAGTTATGTGGCAGCAAGTTCATAAATGTGGATTGTGCAACCTTGGCACTGGATTACATAGCTGGGTCGATGCTTACATAGGGAAAATCAAAATACCTGATGCAAGTGCTGGAGCTGATGCCATATTTTAAGGGCAGCCAGCCCTATGTTGCAGTTGGCATGTGTCCTGCAACCTTTTCAGGAAGGCTGTGCAGTTTGCCTTCATCTGAATTTCTGATGCTCCAGTACAGAAATATACCCTAATGTCTAAGGAGAAGATTTGTCTGCCATCCCACAAGATCATTTGTGCCATCAACAGGTTCAAATGAGGTCTGAGATGTCGCTGTCCAACCAGAGCATTCCCTCCAGCACTTGAGAATGAAAGAGAATAGGGGGATGATTCCCGCGCTACTACTGCCTCCTTTTTTGTGTAAGCAACCTTGGTTATTCAGATCTGTGATACCACTTTGAAGGATGGTGCCTCTGCAGCTCAATTGGGCAGTACCTATTTAAATTGTGGAACCAGAACTTTCAGGTTCTGTATATTCTGCCAAAGGTGCCTCACCTCAGAGTGTCAGCTTAGCAGGTTTTATGCAGAGAAAACATCTCTAACATGAATCCAGTGTACTGTGTCTCAGACCCCTAGAAGTTTGAAGGACTTCTCACAGTGAGTCAAAGATAGGCATAAAACTGGTAGAATATGATATATTTTCCAGATATACTAATTTCAGTGTAAAATACTTTACTGTTACTTGTACAATACAGCTGAAGGGATCTAAGGAAATCTCAGATAATTTTACTGAGATGACGTTGCAAAGTTATTGTACTTAGACAATAGCAGTAGCATATTGGTTTATTATGAGTAAACATTGAGTTCCCAAAGTCCTGGAAAGGTATTGAACATATCCGGTATATGATGTTTACTTAACAAATGTTGACCACATTAAAACAATTAAGGAAATAAAGCACTCAAAATCAAAGAACAAACACACACTGTTTTTGCAAGGTTGTTAATAAAATCGTTTGAGAAATAATACAGCAATAATAAATGCCGTGCATTGTTGGGCATGTGTGAAATCACTTTCCCACCAACTGTGTTTATGACTCATTTATAATATAGCAACAGAAATGCCATTAGCCATGTCTGAATTTCCAACTCACCAGACATATTGGACAATACTGTACCAGAATAAGTAAATGAAAGACAGGGATATTGAGGATTAAGGAGGATTACAAGTTGATATTTTAGAGGAAGTCGTTATGTGAGGGTGACATATATTTTGAAAAGTTCTTTTTTAAACAGAAACATAAAACTACAATGAGGAAAGAATATGGAAAGACCTTCTGCCAGTCAAGCATGCCCGATCCAGCGTAGTACAGATGTTACAGTTATGAAGATGAAAAGATTTATGGGTTGTAGTTTTAAGTTTAGGTTAAATAGGCTGTGTGATTTTTTTTCTACAGTCTGCCTGACAAATACTCCTCGGTGGTTTGATTGTTAGAGTACAAAGGAAGTTGAGAGGTGATCTTATAGAGGTTTATAAAATCAAGAGAGGTACAGATAAGGTGAATGGCAGGTGTCTTTTCCCTTCGTTGAGGGATTTCAAGACTAAAAGGCATATTTTTAAGGTAAGAGGAGAAAGATTTAAAAACAGGCACGAGGGGCAATTCTTTTATATAGAGTGTGATTTGTGTGTGGAATGAACTTACAGAGGAAGCAGTGTATGCGGCTACAGTTACAATGTTTAAAAGACATTTGGATAAGAACATGAATAAGAAATGTTTGGAGGGATATGGGCCAAGCGCAGGCAGGTGAGATTAGTTTAGTTTGGGATTATGGTCACATGGACTGGTTGGACCAAAGCGTCTGTTTCCATGCTGTATGACTCTTTAAAGGCTCAGATTGTTTTACTGAAAAGATGTTGCAAAGTAATTACATTTAGACAATGGCACCAGCCTTTTGGTTTGCTGTGAGTAGGCACCGAGTTCCCAAAGGTGTTGAAGATGCCTGATTTTGCACAGTTATGCTGCAAATTGTCCATTTATTTCTCAGATTATAGAAAATTGGGATCTAGTGTAGCTCATTAGCATTTCTAACTGGATACAAAGTTAATATGTTTCACATTGCCATGGAACAGAGAGTAGAGGGAGCTATTCTCGAGATCAGACTTCCCTACAATTCAATGAATATCACAGACAACAGAGGTTCTGTGTGGTCAGCATAGAGAAAAGGCTACTTGACTTTGAAAGTTACCACAACAGGATGTGGAAGGGAGAGATGGTTTGTAGTTGAAGAGTAGTCGACTACCACTGCTGCATGTGTTGCATCATTAATTTAACTGTTTAGATTCAATCAGCAAAATGGCCAATAGTTTTCCTTTTGTATTGCTATCCAGATTGAAGATACTTTCACCATACTTCCTGAATGAACTGAAAATGTACTGTTTATTATAAATCAAAACTCCTTCTTAAACACAAGTGGCAAAACTGTTTAGCATCTAAACTACAATCCACAATTAGAGCCTTTATTTTGCTATTTACTGTTTGTTATGTCATTAACGACTTGGATATTAATGTAGAATATTTAATTAGTAGATTTGTGAATGGCATGAAAATTGGTGGTGTTGTTGATAGTGAGGAGGATGGTCTCAGGCTGTAGTCTGATATTGACCAGCGGATAAATTGTGCAGAGCAATGACAGATGGAATTTAATCCCACTAAATGTGAGGTGATGCATTTTGAGAGGTCAAATAAGGGAAAGATATACACAATGAATAGTAGAGAGTACTGAGGAACAAAGGGACCTTGATGTGCAATCCATAGATCCCTAAAGATGTCAGCACAGGATGGTGAAGTAGGCATATTGGAAACTTGCCTTCATTACTCGGGATGCAGAACATAGAAGCAAGGAAATCTTGTTACAAGTTTATAAAACATGGGTTAGGCCACAGATAGAATGCTGGGTGCAGTTCTAGTTGCCATACATGTGAGGAGAGACTGGATAGACTGGATTTGTTTTCCTTAGAGCAGAGGAGGCTAAGGGGGATCTGATTGAATTATACAAATTATGAGAGGCATAGACGGAGTAGATCGTGAGAATCTCTTACCCATAGTTGGTGTGTCTAAGACCAGAGGACATAAGTTTAAGGTGAGGAGCAAATGGTTTAGAGGAGATCAGTGAAAATTTTTTTTCACCCAGATGGTGGTAGATATATGGAACATGCTACCCCGGATGGTGGTGGAGGCAGATACTCCTGCAACATGTAGAAGCCTCGGGATGAGTACTTAAAATGCTGGGGCATAGAAGGCTGTGGACCAAGTGCAGGCAAATAGGATTAATGTTGTTTAGTGTTTGTAGGTCAGCAGAGACATGATGTGCTGAGGGGATACAAAATTGGCTTGATGGTGGACGACAGAGGGTGGTGGTGGAAGGTTGTTTCTCGGTCTGGAGGTCTGTGGCGAGCAGTGTTTCACAGAGATTGGTCCTAGGTCCGCTTTTGTTTGTCATTTATATAAACGATTCGGATGAGAATTTAAGAGACCTGGTTGGTAAGTTTGTGGATGACAGCAAAATTTGTAGTATAGTGGACAGTGAAGAAGGTTATCTAAGATTACAAAGAGATCTTGATCAATTGGGTCAATGGGCTAAGGAGTGGCAGATGGAGTTTAATTTGGATAAATGCGAGGTATTGCATTTTGGTAAAACAAACAAGGACAGGACTTGTGCAGTTAAAAATAGGGCACTGAGTAGTGTTGTTGAACAGAGGGACCTAGGGGTTCAGGTTGAAATTTGCATCACGTAAACAGGGTAGTTAAGGCATTTAGCACGCTAGCCTTCATTGCTCAGACCTTTGAGTATAGGAATTGGGATGCCATGTTGAGGTTGTACAGGACATTGGTGAGGCCTCTTCTGGAGTACTGTGCACAGTTTTGGTCATTCTGCTGTAGGAAGGATATTATTAAATTGGAGAGGGTTCAGAAAAGATTTACCAGAATGTTGCCAGAAATAGAAAGTTTGAGTTAGAGAATAGGCTAGGACATTTTTCACTGCAGCGTAGTACGTTTGAGGGGTGATCTTATGGAGGTTTATAAAATCATGAGGAGCATAGACATGGTGATAAGAAAGATTTGCAGCTTTATTGCGGCTTTGGAGATTTTCTTCCTTTTGACTCGCTATGCTTGCTAACAAAAGCCATCAGTAAAGGGGCTCATAGTGTCTTCCAGAGCCAGATTTTTCAGCCATTGAGGGTAAAACACCATTATCTCCCTAAAACCTTTGTTTGACTCTTTTCCCAAAGTCATTTGACCTCCTGTAAACAGTAGGTGAATCACAGCCATCATTAAACTGTTGACCTCATTTCCAAGAAACCACATGGGTTCCCTTCAAAACCTTGGCAGAAGCTATTTTTAAGCCAAAAAATGTCCAAACAGTAAAATTATCTTCCAGTTACATTGTCCATACATAACTCCCATACAAATGTGAATTGAAATTTGAATTTCTTTTTATCAATTAAGCAAGCTCTTGGAATTCAAACAATTTCTAGGAGACCGTAGTTGCTTATTTCTCTGTGACACAAAACCCTCTCCACTTTCTGGAACACAACCAGTTCCCTCTTTGAAACATTGTTGTATTTCATATCTGCTGAATGTTTTAGTAATCTATTCCACAAATCAGCCACACACTTTGGAAAGAATTCTATCTAACTTAATTCTGATTTTTCATTTTGTAGTGACTCTCCATAATTCCCCTATAGTGCTCTGTCTCAAACAACCTGAGAGAAGGTGTTTGGTATGCTTCCCATTATTGGTCATTGCATTGAGTATAGGAAGGTCATGTTGCAGCTGTACAGGATATTGGTTAGGCCGCTTTTGGAATGCTGTATTCAACTCTGGTCTCCTTGCTATAGCAAAGATGCTGTTAAGCTAGAAAGGGTTCAGAAAAGATTTACAAGGATGTTGCCAGGGTGGGAGGGTTTGAGCTTTAGGGAGAGGCTGAATAGGCTGGGACTATTTTTCCTGGAACATCAGAGGCTGAGGGGTGACCTTATAGAGGTTTATAAAATCATGAGGGGCATGGATAGGGTGAATAGTCAAAGTCTTTTCCCCAGGGTTAGGGGAGTCCAAAACAAGATGGCATAGGTTTAAGTTGAAAGTGGAAAAATTTAAAAGGGACCTGAGGGGCAACTTTTTCATGCTGAGGATGGTGCATGTATGAAATGAGCTGCCAGAGGAAGTGGTGGAGGCTGGTACAATTACAACATTCAAAAGGCATCTGGATGGATATACGAATAGGAAAGGTTTAGAGGGATATGGGTCAAATGCTGACAGATGGAACTAGATTAACTTGGGATATCTGGTTGTTATGGACGAGTTGGACTGAAGGGTCTGTTTCTGTGATGTATGTCCCTAGGACTCTATATCTCACCTTTACTTTTTGTAATCTTGCAGCATACCCTCTCTACTTGAGCCATTTAGACCCAACAACAAAAAAAAGAAAGAATTTGTATTTATGTAGAAACTTTGATAACCTCAGGCTATCAGAAAGTGTTTTTGAGCTATCCATGTCAATTTTATTGCAGCCAAATACTATAATGGCTGGAGTGAAAGGTTAAATTGAGTTTCCAGCACAGAAACAGGTAAGTTGACCTAACAGGCCACGTGCTTAGGCTCCACATGGGCCACCTCCTACTCTACTTTTTCTAACCCTAGTGTGATATTTTATCTCTCTCTCCCTCACGTATTTAACAAGTTTTGCTTTAAATACATTTATCTAATTTAAAAACAGTTATCTAATTTGTATAATAATTGTAAGTGTTCCAATATTTCATAGTTTTGAAATAAAGTATCATCTCCTGAATTCATTATTGGATTTATTGCAGACTTTCCTGATGTTTATTGATCATCCACAAATTTTCTCTCCTGATCAGTACTGCCCCACTGTTCCATTTCTCCAGTTGTTTACTAGATCTGAACGTTTGTGATTGGCTCTTTGTTTAGTGTTTTCTCTGTTTCTTATTTTGGTGTTCAGTACAAATGTGAAAATCTTGTTTATTTACAACCTTATCCAAGTCCTTTCATAAGCGGAATAGGTTTCCAGATTAACACTGGTGGCACTGCTCACATACTGAAGCAGTCTGTGCCCAAATGTAGTAAGACCCCGACAATATCCACGTTTGGACTGATAAGTGGCATGTAACACTTGTGCCACCTAAGTACCAGACAATGTCCATCTCCAACAAGAGAGAATTTAACGATCGCCCCATAACATTCAGTGGTATTACCATTACTGAATCCCCTGTTGTCAACATCCTGGGAGTTACCATTGACCAGAAGCTAAACTGGACTAGTCAAATAAGTACTTTGGCTACAAGGGTAGCTCTGACAACCCTCAGGATACATGACACCATCCAAGACAAAGCTGCCTGCTTGATTGGCACTCCATTCACAAATATCCATTCCCTCCGCCACTGACACTCAGTAGCGGCAGTGTATACTATCTATAAGAGGCACTGCAGAAATTCACCAAAGTTCTTTAGACAGCAGCTTCAAAACTCACGATCACTGCCATCTAGAAGCATAATGGCAGCAGGTACATGGGAACACTAGTATTTGCTAGTTTCCCATTGCTGTTTACTGTGGTGTCAAAACACTGGAACTCCCTTTCTAACATCATTGTGGGTTAATCTATACAAATGGACTGCAGCAGTTCAAGAAGGTAGCTCACCACCACCTTCTCACGGACAAGTAGGGATGGGCAATAAATGCTGGCCTAGCCAGCGATGCCCAAATCCTGTGAGTGAATGAATAAAACAGGCCCTTCATATTCTGTATTTTGAATGTCACATTAATTACAACAGTGTGTATGGATGCTATACAGCAATGACTTGCACGTAGAGAGCATTTTTAATGCTACCATACCTGCTTAGTATTTACAGGAATTCTGGTCAAATATTTAAGAAGCTGTTAGTACCAGAACCAGTGGCCAAAAGCTTGGGCAAAACTAGAATTTTAAGAAGTATCTTAAAGGAAGAATGTAGAAGTGAAAAAGCCTTGAAGTTTATTCCAGACCTTAGGTCCTAAAGAGCTGACGTCTCTCAGCCAGTGGTAGATCAATGAAAGACGAAGAAGTACAAGATACTAGAATTGAAGAAGCACAGAAATTCTGAATGTTTTCAGGCTGAATCATATTACTGTAATAGGGAAGGGTCAAATCATGGAGGGTTTAATCACAAGGATGAAAATGTTAAGTTTGAGGTGTTGCTGGTCTAGGAGTCAGTGAACACAGCAATGATGTTAAATGGGACTTGATCCAAGTTAGGATATAAGCCGCAGAATTTTGATGAGCTCATATCCATGAATAAGCAATCATGAACAGTCCTAACTATAGCAGAACACGATATAAATAATTGAAAGACGCAGATTGAATAATTTGATAAGAGAATAAAACATTTATCAAAAGCAAAATAGATCTAGAAATTCAAAATAAATCAAAATGCTGGAACAACTCTGATAGCATTTGTGAAGAGAGAAACAGACTTAACAGTTTAGACTAATAATTTTTCATCAGAAAAAAAGAAAATTTGCCTCCTTTATTGATTCAGATAGAGTAACTTAAACACCTCAGTCCTGTTTACACCCACATAGTGGCTTGGAAGCATAGCATTTTCTGTTTCCAATGAAATATATATTTTGTTTTAAAAATATTATGTACGATCTTTCAATACAGCTTTGTTATTGATCTAACTTATTTAATTGGCAGGATTTGACTGGAATCTGGTCTTTAAATGGGACTACATGACTCCAGAACAAAGACGAGCTCGTCAGGGTAATCCAATTGGTCCCATTAGGTATGTATAGCCATGGGTTTTATAATTGATAAGTATAGTTGTAATAGTGTCACATCAGAATTCCTGTGTCATGCTTCCTTGTTGCACTTCATATTAGGCAAATGTGTTCCTGGGGAATTTTTTGTGGCTGTTTGCCTGATATGCAAATTTCTTCCAATAAATCATTTTTCAGAAAACTGAGCAACACAGGAATTCAGAGCATACAAAGATATTCTCACATTAGGATAAAATATCTTGTATCACAAGAATACGAAGACAGCTTCTCTGTAGTATAATAGAAGTTAAATAAAGAACTCTGAATATTGGCATGCCCTCAGGTTCTACAGTTCCGAAGAAACAAGTTGTTGAATTTCGAGAACACTGACTGAAGGACATCCCAAAACACTTTACAGCCAAAGAAGTTCTTTTGAACTATACTCATTGAAGTAGTAAGAGCCATGGTAGCTGTTTTGTGCATAATGTGATAATGACCAGGTCATCTGTTTTTAATATTGCTGCTGTTCATTGATGTTAATTAGGCTTTAATTGTATTTAAATAGTACTAATTGGGAATTCAACTGTGCTAATATGTACAGAAGCAGACTGAAGCTGGTTGTTTGGTTGGAATTGCACAATTTGTAATGTATGAATGTAACTAAAAAGTAGTAAGAGTTTAAAGACAAGGCTGCAGTGTTCTATGCTTCACTACCTGACTATTAGTTGATGGATAAATAAAGAGCTTATAAAGCTCCTGATACAAAAGGGAAGCACCTTTTCATCTTTGACTAACCAACTATATATTTTGAACCCAATCCCTCACTCGGATATTTATAAGAATTCTTTTAGTGTATTCAAGAAATCCCCAGTCCTGAAGTGCATTTGATGAGCTCATGTGAGAACCATCTTAGTTAATCTTCTTTGGTCAGTGATGCTGCTACATTCTCTTTCTGATATTTCACATTTTAAATTCTTGGTAAAATTTGCCCTTCACCCCTTTCTTGCTTCATCCTGCTACCAAGTCCAGCGTTCCTTCTCACTTGACTGAGACCTTCCCTTCCAGGGTCCTAAGTCAGCTTCCGAGACCCAGCCCCTTGATTTCACTTGTTACCCACATGTTCTAAGTGTTGTGTACTGATTCAGTTAGAGTCAGAAGCCAATCCCACAGCCACCGTGACACAGACTTGTATCTCAATAGTGAGAGCATAACATTCTGGCTCTTTCAAATCGCATGCCTGTCCTTTTGCTGAAAGAAGATATATATGACCAGACTGATGCTCATTGCCCACAGACTGGTATGTGTCGTGTTTCAGGGCATCACTATGAACCTGGGTTGAGGTATTTCTCATAAGTACCTGGTCTAAAGGTAAAGAATATTATTGCAAGGATTTCAAGTGCTGAAATTGATAAGTTTAATTAAGTTCTTTACATTTATAGTTGTATTTTGTTCATTAGTCCCAGTTGGAAAACGACTCAGATTTGTACAGAGCACGTGATGACAAAAGAAAGGACTTTTAAATTAATTGGCTTACTACCTTAATGCATATTCTTTGCATGTGGAATGTCAGAAAGAGAATGTAGCAGCATCACTGACCAGAGAAGATTAAATAAGATGGTTCTCACATGAGCTCATCAACTGCACTTGAGGACTGGGGATTTTTGAACACAGTAGATAAAATTCTTGTAAATATCTGAGTGAGGGATTGGGTTCAAAATATACAGTTGGTTAGTCAGAGATGAAAAGATGCTTCCCCTCTGTATCAAGAGCTTTATGGGCTCTTTATTTATCCCTCAACCAATTGTCAGGCAGTTTTTGCATATCAAATATGATATCTAAGTTCTGACAAAGTCTAATGGATAAAATGGGCATTAAGCATTCTTTGTATGTGGTTGCAGATTAAAAACACATTTACAAAGAATTGCCATGTTAGACAACCAGTTTTAGTCTTGGTATTATAGCCTAACATAGCTTTTACTTAGTTTCTGTTGAGGTTCTGATTTATGAAGCTACTTTGAACTAGAGATGCTTTCTTTGAGTGATTGCAATTAATGTAAATATCTTGAGTACTTCAGAATTAATTTCTCTCAATAACTTGATTGAATCCCAAAATTATTTGTCATTTCAGGGTTGGTTTAAAAAACTAAGCTTGTATTAATTTAGCATTTTTCACAATCTTTGAATTTCCCAGACTTATTACTACTAAAGTACAACATGGCTGTGAGTTTGCACAGCTAGAACCGATGCACAGCAAATAGGATGAATGAGTATTTGATTTAATTTAGATGGAGTTGGTTGAGGGGAAATTGTTGGCTTGGACACAAGAATTCTCCAGCTCCTCTTTGAATAATATCATGATCTCTTACATCCATCTTACAGGCAGGTGGAGCTTTGACTTAATAATTCATTTGAAAGATATCTTTGGCACTGCAGCAGTTCTTGAGAACAGCACTGGTGCCAGCCTAGATTGGAGTGCTTCGAAACCATTCCCTTCTGAGGTGTTATTGGAGCATACTGTTTACTCTATGGAAATTCTTGACACCAGAATACCTCTGTCAAACCTCTATAGAGGCTCTTTTTTAGAGCTTAGCTTTGAGATCTGTGGGGTAGAAATCACAGTAGTGATATTGCAATACAAAAACTGGCAGTTATATGGTTGGTGCTGCTTGTTTCACTGGGTCTCCATTTTAATGTCCTTGAATGCTCAGTGGACATGGTCGTCCTCAACCCTTCATCCACTGAGATTGGCATCCATCAACAATCAGCCCCACCATACTATCATGGCTGATCTCTGACCAACTCAGAATCCTCTTTAGCCCTTAAAGATTTAACTTTGGGGTGTTGACTTGCCTTCTCCTCCCAGGTCACTTCACATGCAGGGATACACAATCATCTTAGAGATCTTCTTATGACTCTTAGCTTCATTTCTTAATTGCACTTACTTGGTGGCTGCCAGCCTCTGTCAATTGCATAGTTTTATGGTCAGGACAGAAAGGGTTAATAGTTGTGGGGCTGAAGTGGGTGAGAGCCATTAAGTGGAGTTCGATATGTGTTGATCAGCTATGTATGCAATGGTTTATTTTTATGTGTGCTATTAATGGCTGAGAAAAATTTGAGACTCTTAATGGTGACAGAAGTGCCCAGTTGTACCAAAGCTATAGTAGCAAATAAATTGCTATATTATTAGTGGATTTATTTTGTTTAGACTGCAGCTTTTAGCACTTTGTTGGTAGGCAGTGGTACAATTTCTGTATTTTTCACTTCAGAAGGGTATTGTTTAAGGAATTGGGGGCAAGGCTACAATTGGTAGAATCACAGAATGTGGAAAGAGGCTATTTGGTTTCTCATGCCAATGCCAGCTCATTGAAAGGGCAGTCCAATTAGACTGTCACTTTTCATGGCAGCCCTGCAATTTTTTTCCTTTTCAGCTACATAATTAATGACCTTTCAAAAGTGTATAATGTATTTTGTTTTATACAACTTATAAAATAAACATATAATGCATCCTAATGTATTCTTCTTAGAACACCCATGATAGCTGGGGGTCTCTTTGTGATGGATAAAGGTTACTTTGAAGAGCTTGGTAAATATGACATGATGATGGATGTCTGGGGTGGAGAAAACTTAGGTAAGTGACTGCAGTAATCATTGTGTCAAAGGATGAGTGAAATTGTAAAGCATAACATGTGGTACTTTAAACATACAAATTTAACTAATATGTAACAAGTGCAACAGACTAAATTTGCTTCGTGGTTTGCCAACTTATGTCTGGGATAACTTCATTTCACAGCACATGAACTCTGAGCTCTAAAAGGATATTTTGTTGAGATGTGTACTGTAATGTCTAGGGTTGTCATTTCGTATGTGAATAAGTACATTAAAATGATTCTCTGCTTGACCATTTTCAGCAGCGGCAGCAAATTGGTGTTAAGTCTTGCTTACTGATTGTGCCTGTGGACCTTTTAATTCCAACTGACCATAAGCAACCACACCAGCCCACCCACTGTATTCTGCTAGTTAACATCAAGCTAGACTTAACAAGGTTTCCTTATTGTTCAGATGGCTGATGAACTTGTATTGGTAGGTGACCGCAAGGGATATATTTTCTCTTGTGAGGTACTCTTAGAACTAACAGTGAAGTAAGTCAATGTCTCAAGTGGAGGATTCACTTTGATGAGCCAAATGTTTTTCCCTTGTTACACCAAATGAGTTTAGGGTTTTGACTATTGTGAGCTTCTCCAAAGAGTCTTGGCACCATTATAGAATTGATTTGGAGACGCCTTAAGGCAGTTGATAGTTAATAGAGGTCAGTTTGTTATGATCATATTGCATAAAGTATAATTAACTTCCTTTTGAATTTTATTAGAAATTACTTCAGTTTGTGCATGAGATTTATTACAAAGCTTACCTGTCTTTGTTTATGTTATCAAGTGCACTATCCCCTCCAGAATGAGTGATGTCCAAGTGTGCGTCTCCATCAGGAAGTCAGTGACCTTGCAGGGAAAGATTAAAGTTGTGTTGCTATTCCTGTAAGGAAGTTAAATCTCTTCAGTTGTAAATTATATATATGGTATAGTAACTGTATCTAATTAAGCAGAGGCAGGGGTGACAGAGTGTGTTCTGTTGTTCTATTAATTTGTTGTCAATAGTGTCCTGGAGAGTTAACGTCCACCTTGTGTGATGGAATATTATAGGGTTCTATAAAGAATTCTGATAGCTTTTCCTATTTTCCACCTCCTAAATTTAAAATATTTAATGTGAATTAAGATACAGACAACAAGTCACACTCACCTAGAGTTGTAGAATCCCTACTGTGCAGAAAGAGGCCATTCAGACCATCAAGTCCACACTGGCCCTCCGAAAAGCATCCAACCCAGGCCCAGACTCACACCTTATCCCCGTATTTCCCATGGCTAATCCACCTAGCCTGCACATCCCTGCATACAACAGGCAATTTAGCATAGCTAATTGCTCTAACCTGCACATCTTTGGACTGTGGGAAGAAACCGGAGCACTTCAATGTAAACTCCACGTGGACGGTCACCCAAGACTGGAATTAAACTCGTGTCCCTGACGTTGAGAGGCAGCAGTGCTAACCACTGAGCCACTGTGCTGCCCTTTGAACCACTGTGCAGCCTTCACCCATCACTTGTGTGCATATCTTAATAGGCTCCCTACCTGACAAACATATTTTCAAATCGCTCCATGACATCTTCTCCCCTCCCTGTTTCTGTAACCTCCAGCAAACTGAGGGCCCTTTTGGATATCTGCAACTCTCCAATTTTGACCAATTGCACATCGACAATTATCATTGAGTTACTAACATGGCCAGGCTTTTAGCAAACCAGGCTTTAAGTTCTGGAATTCTTGTCTTAAACTTCTCCATTTTTCTTTCCCGTCCCCCTTTAAAATATGCTTTCATGGTTGTGTTAATATCAATTGGCTCAGTGTCCAGTTTTGTTTGGTAAGACATCTGTAAGTTGTCTTCAGATGTTTTTCACTTGTAAATGTGCAATATAAATACAAGTTGTTATTGATGTGAACAAAGTCTAAGGGCTGGAATACCAGTGGTCATTTTGAAGGCTACCGCCCTTCAAATGAGGTTCTGGACCCATAAAGCTGTAAAATCGTAAAGGATATCGACAGAGAGAAACTGTTCTCACTGGGGAAGAAAAGGTTCAGAAACAAAGTTATGTTTTAAGGTGAATCACAAAAAAAACCAGAGTCAACATGAGCATTTTTTATGCAGCACATGTTTAGGATCTGGAATGCGCTACCTGAGAGTCTGTTAGAAGTGGATTCGATCTTAGCTTTTAAAAGGTTATTGGATAATTATCTGAGAGATAAAAATGGAAGATCTATGAGAAAAGTTTAAGACAAGAATTCCAGAACTTAAAGCCTGGTTTGCTAAAAGCCTGGCCACGTTAGTAACTCAGTGATAATTGTCAATGTGCAAGTGGTCAAAATTGGAGAGTTGCAGATATCCAAAAGGGCCCTCAGTTTGCTGGAGGTTACAGAAACAGGGAGGGGAGAAGATGTCATGGAGCGATTTGAAAACATGTTTGTCAGGTAGGGAGCCTATTAAGATATGCACACAAGTGATGGGTGAAGGCTGCACAGTGGTTCAAAGGGCAGCACAGTGGCTCAGTGGTTAGCACTGCTGCCTCTCAACGCCAGAGACACGAGTTTAATTCCAGTCTTGGGTGACCGTCCATGTGGAGTTTACATGGGAGTAGCTGAATTGCACTTTCAAAGAATAGCACAGACATGATGAGCTAAACAGCCTCCTTCTGTGTTTTAACCAGTCTATGAGTCTATAGTGGACTCGATCCTCTTCACCATAATAGTCAGCAGAGAATTACACAAGGTGTTGCCTCTTGACCAAACCACAATGTTTAAGCAATAATCAGAAGAATCGCTCTTGATATGTTTTCCTGGACATTTTTGCCATTTATACAGGATCTTAAATATTGAGTCAACCATGATTTTTTGAACCAAGTTTTCCCCATTGTTAGGAACATTTGTGATATTGCCATTGGCCCCTTTTCTTTTCCCCTGTTAGTGCAGAACTAAAGGAAAAAAATTGGAATGGGCATGGATAATGGTAAGCAAGAAAATTTTGACTATCTATTTTAGTTATATGTATCTTACCAACATCATATCTTTCAGAAATTTCTTTTCGGGTGTGGCAATGTGGGGGCATCCTTGAAATCATTCCCTGTAGTCGGGTAGGTCATGTATTCCGCAAGCAGCATCCCTATACATTTCCAGGAGGCAGCGGTACTGTTTTTGCAAGGTAAATATTTCTGATAATTAAAGTTTGCAGCCTTGTTTTCAGTCCTTTCCATGGTTTGTCCCACTCCCCACATCTGCAACCTCTTCCACTACTGCAACCCCTGGAGATCTCTACATTGCTCCAATTCTGGTTTCTTCCATATCCCAGATTGGGATATGCAGCGAGTCAACTTTGCTGTGAAGCAGACTGTCGATAGTGTGCAGTGAATCAAAATCACTGTGAAGTGGATTGGCGGGAGTCTATAGCAAGTGATCATCCCTGTGAAGTGGACTGAGAGGAATGTGCAACAAGTCAGCATTGCTGTGAAACAATCTGGGAAGCGTGTGCAGCAATCAGCATGACTGTGATGCAGACTGGGAGGAGTGTGCAGGGAGTCAGTATTGCTGTGAAGCAGACTAGAAGGTGTGCAGTGAGTCAGCATCATTTGAGACTAATAATCTTTCTTCCTCTGTGCTTTAACTATTCTGAGATTTCTTTTTCTTTCAGTCCTACATTTCAAGACAGCAATCGATATATTTATGTTAAGTAAGAGTACCAATCCTATGGGACAACGGCAAAGTTGAGCACAGGTGCATCTGAACAATGAGCTGAATGACAGTGCAGGCATGAGGGGCTGAATGACCGTGGTCATGGATTGAAGTGCCACACACAGCCTCACGCACAAAGGTCTAAGCTGACGGTCCACAGGGACTTTAATCTGAGGTCCTGTCAGGAGGAAATTAAGAGAAAGGAGCAGCGTGGATCTTGAAGTTGCTCCTGGGATTGCAGGCTTAGTTAAAGATTTATTATATATTTTTTACTGTTTTACATTATAGTTTACTAATATAAGTTTTTTTTCCATTTTGTTTTATTAACATTAGAAAAAACAAAAGAAGTTGGAATTTTTTTTCAAACAGTCTTCTTTAAAAAAACTTTTTAAGGGTCTACAGTGAACGGCTGAGTTTTTTTTATTCTTAATTCAGAAATTTTAAAAAGTCTATATGTATTTTAGAGGACTTTTTTTGAACAAAATCAAACATTTTTTTAAAATAAGGAGTTTTTTTTTGTTCCGGAGAATCCCATATGTGGTCAGCTCCGGAGAAGGTTTTTTCCTTCTTCGGGGAACTTATTGAAAAGGAATCATTTTTATTCAGTTAATCAGCTAAGTGGTTGATTTTATTTAATTTTTATTTGTTTGATATAGTTTTTTTTCTATTTTAACTTTATTTTCCTTAGATAATGAAAGGTTGTTTATTTTATATATAAGGTGTTACTGTAACATTTTTTTAGGCTTAATTTTATTAAGGCAATGTATAAGGTACATGGTGAGATGGCTAGTAGATTTAGAAAAGTTATTACCCAACAGGATCAGTCAGATAGATGGGTGACTGTCAGGAAAGGTAAGAAGTTACTTCAGAAGTCTCCAGTGGCTATTTCTCTATCAAATAGATATTCAGTTTTTGGAACAGTTGAAGGGGATAATCTGTATGAGGAAAATTGAAGGGCCAGTTGTTGGACACTTGGAACGATTCTTATGTTAGGCAGCGTTTGACAAGATTTAATAGAATTATTGTTATAGGGGACTGTCCTGTCAGTACAGAAACAGGCAATTCTATGGCAGTGAGCGTAAATTTAGGATGGATTGTTGCTTTCCTGGTGCTATGATTAAGGATGTTTCTAAACGTTTCAAACATATTGTTAAAGGTGAGATTGAGAAGCCAGGAATTATTGTACACTTTAGTAGAACTGACACTTTAGACAAAAGATTGAAGCAGTACAGAGTGAATTTAAGGGATTAGGTAGAAGATTAAAAAGAAGACCTTAAAAGTAGTAATTTCTGCTTTACTCTCAAAGTCAAATTCAAACGAGGAAAGGAGCAAAAGGTTAAAGGAGATAAATCAATGGCTGAAGAGCTGGTGTATTGTTCAGGGATTCAGGTTTTGCAAAATTGGAATGTCTTTTGGGATAGAAAAGACCTGTTCAAAATGGATGGGTCTTACCTAAATTGGAAAGAGACCACTATCTTAGCAGGGAGATTTGCTCGTTTTATTAAGGGAGACTTTAAGGGAGGCAACTAGAGGAATTCTGAGTAGCAGTGTAAATGGAAGGATTGATGGGGTAGGTTCTGAATGTGAGAAGAGCACATCTGAAGAACTAAATTGCATTATTTCAATGCAAGGGGTCTTACAGGTAAGGCTGATGAACTCAGGGCATGTTTAAAAGCATGGAATTGGGATGTTGTAGCTATTACAGAAACCTGGCTAAGAGATGGACAAGACTGGCAGCTCAATGTTCCTGGATGCTGTAGGAAGGATAGAAAAGGAGGCAAGAAAGGAGGGGGTGTGGCGTTTTTGATTAAGGAATATGTTATTGCTGTAACTAGGGAAGATATTTCTGAAAAATCGTCCAGTGAAAATATATGGGTAGAAATTACAAATAAGAAAAGAAAGATCACTTTGATGGGATTGTACTATAGGTCCCCCAATTGTAAGACAGAAATTGAGAAACAAATATGTAGAGAGATCTCGGATATATGTAAGCATAATAAAGTTGTAATAATGAGGAATTTTAATTTTCCAAACATTAACTGGGATTACCATAATGTTAAAGGTTTGGATGATGAAGAATTTATCAAATGTGCTCAAGAAAATTTTCTTTATCAATATGTGGATGCTTCTACTAGAGAAGGAACAAAACTAGACCCTCTTTTGGGCAATAAGGCAGGGTAGGTGACTGAAATAAAAGTGGGGGAACACTTTGGGCCTAGTGATCATAATTCTATGAGTTTCAACATGGATATGGAAAAGGATAATCCTTACATAAGAGTTAAAGTTTTTCAATGGAAAAGGCAAATTTTAATGGTATGAGACAAGAACTTTCAAAAGTTGATTGGAGTAGACTGTTCGCAGCTAAAGGGCGTCTGACAAGTGAGACATGTTTAAAAGTGCGATGACAAGAGTTCACAGACATTTTGTTTCTGTTGGAGTGAATGGTAAAGCTGGTAAGATTAAGAAACAATGGATGAATAAAGATATAGGGGTTCTAGTCAAGAATAAATGAGAATTTTTTTTAGATCCAGACAACTTGGTTCAATTGAATCTCTTAAACAATATAAAGAATTTAGGGGCGTTCTTAAGAGAGAAATCAGGAAGGCAAAGAGGTGCTTTGAGATAGCGTTGGCAGATAAGGTTAAGGATAATCCAAAGACATTCTACAAATACACTAAGAACAAGAGGGTAACTACAGAGAGGATTGGGCCCGTTTAAGATCAAGGAAGTTGTCTTTATGTTGAACCTCAGGAGACGGTAGAGATACTAAATGAATATTTTGTGTCAGTTTTTACTGTGGAGGAAGAAATGGAGTCGAGAGAATGCAGAGAAATAAACTTTGATGTTTTAAAAACAGTTCACATTACAGAAGAGGAAGTTCAGGAGGTCTTAGAGAATATAAAAGTGGATAAATCTCTGGGACTTGATCTAATGTATCCCAGAATGTTGTGGGAAGTAAGGGAGGAAATTACGAGATCCCGTGCAACAATGTTTGCATCATCTATAACTACGGGTGAGGTGCCTGATGACCCAAGGGTGGGTAATATTGTACCTTTGTTTAAGAAATATTGTAATGAGGAACTGGGGAACTATAGACCTGTGACACTGACTTCAGTTGTGGGTAAATTATTGGAGTTGATTAAAAAAGATAGGATTTACAGACATTTAGAGAGACAAAAATTGCTTAGGGATAGTTGGCATGGTTTTGTGTGAAGAAAATCATGTCCCACAAACTTGATTGAGTTTTTTGAGGAAATTACCAAAAGGATTGATGGCAGTGCAGTAGACTGTTTATTTGGATTTTAGTAAAGCCTTTGACAAGGTTCCACATGGCATTCTAATTAGTAAAGCTGGACCACATGGAATTCAGGGTGAGCTTACCAACTGGATACACAACTGGCTTGATGGCAGGAGACAGAGAGTAATGGTGGAAGGTTGCTTTTCGGACTGGAGGCCTGTGACCAGCGGTGTTCCACAGGGATTGGTTCTGGGTCTTCTTTTGTTTGACATCTATATAAATGATTTGGATGAGAATATAAACGGCATGGTTAGTAAATTTGTGGATGACACCAACGTTGGTGGCATTGTAGATGGTGAAGAAAGTTTTCTAAGATTACAAAGGGATCTTGATCAAATGGGTCACTGGGCTGAAAAATGGCAGATTGAGTTCAATCTGGATAAATGCAAGGTATTGCATGTTAGTACAAAAAAACAAGGGTAGGATTTATACAATTAATGGTAATTAATGGTAGGGCCTTGGGTAGTGTTGTAGAACAGAGGGACCAAGGGGTGCAGGTACATAATTCTTTAATGTTTACCTCACATACAGACAGGATGGTTAAAAAGGCATTTGGCACATTTGCCTTCATTGCTCAGTCCTATGAGTATTGGATTTGGGATGTTATGTTGAGGTTGTACAGGACATTGGTGAGGCCTCTTCTGGAGTCATGTAACTAGTTCTGGTTGCCCTATTATAGGAAGAATATTATCAAGCTGGAGAGGGTTCAGAAGAGATTCACCAGGATATTGCTGGGAATGGAAGGTTTGATTTATAAGGAAGGTCTGGATAGGCTGAGACTTTTTTCACTGGAGTGTAGGAGGTTGAGAGGTGACCTGAAAGAAGTTTATAAAATAATGAGAGGTATAGATAGAGTTGATAGTGTTTGTCTTTTACCTAAGATGGGGAATATCAAGACAAGGGGGCACATTTTATAGGTGAGAGGAGAGAGATTTTAAAAACACATAAGAGGCAAATTTTTTACATAGAGAGTGATTTGCGTGTGGAATGAACTTCCTGATGAAGTGGTGGATGTGGACACAATTACAACATTTAAAAGCCATTTGGATAGATAAATGAATTGGAAAGGTTTGGAGGGTTATGGGCCAGGAGCAGGCAGGTGGGACTAGTTTAGTTTGGGATTATGTTCGGCATGTACAGGTTGGACTGAAGGGTCTGTTTCTGTGCTGTATGACCCCTATTTCTGTGGTCTGATGTATGCACCAATCCAACTTTTCTGCCTCTGTAGTATTATTGTACTGATTTGAAAGTACTGCACAGTAAACAATTAATACTGTTCCAGCGCATCATATTTTCAGTAATACCTTTCAATGGTTTCATGAATGTAATCTGAATCTCTTTAATGAAATGCTGTTCCTTTAAGAGTTAATTTTTATTAAGTTAATTATCTTTTAGACACTTGGCAGGAAATATTAAAAAAGAAATGTTTTAATATTTTCCAAAAGAAATACACGCAGGGCAGCAGAAGTTTGGATGGATGAATTCAAAAATTTCTATTATGCAGCAGTGCCTTCAGCTCGAAATGTGCCATTCGGCAAGTAAGTAACATTCATCTCATGTTAATTTGTGTTTATTGCATATCTTTTGCTCTGCTCCATTGAAAGATGCAGTATAGGCAATGTTTATGTAACTTAGTTCAGAGTTGACTCCACTTGAATCCTTAACCCACATATATTTACACATACATTTTACAAATTGATTTGCTCAGGACTCTCTTGAGAGGTAAATACAAGTGCTTCATTGTGTTGATTCTGTCATAAGTTGTAGTTTGTGCCAGTGGTACTGAGTGCTAAGCTGCTATTGTGTGCTTATCCAGTTTTGAAATTTTCAAGTGGCCATCAGTTTTAATGGCTTTTCTGGGGGAAATATTCTAGATTTTCACTGTGAAGAAGTATTTTCTGACACCATTCCTGAACAACCTAGCTCAAATTTTAAGGTTGTACCCTTTGTTGTAGAGTCACTCACCAGACAAAATAACAGTTTAACAAGATTAATGAGGAGGAGGGGAAAAGTGTAGGAGAAACAAAACAGATCATCATAAATCAAGAGAAGTCATAACCCAGAAGATTTCCCAGCCGACAGTGTCATGGCTCATGTACGCAGGAATTACTAGATAAGAGAAAAACATGATCCGTCTAGTTCTCCTTCTGCCATCCTTGTGGTTGTGCATTATAGCAGTAATCTTGAACAACCGAAACGTTGACTCTGTTTCTTCCTTCACAGATGCTGCCAGACCTGCTGAGCTTTTCTAGCAACTTTGTTTTTGTTCCTGATCACAGCATCCGCAGTTCTTTCAGTTTTCATAGCAGTAATCTTGTTCAGTAATTCCCCTTTAGGGAAGGAAACCTGCCCCATACATGAGACCCACAGCAACATGGTGACTCCTATCTATCTCGGAAATGGCCTATCAAAGCACTATGAGAAAAGTCAAATCAGAGTAAGCCAGACAGGCCATCTGGTATTGACCTGGGCACCAGAAGCAACAAACGCATATCCAATCCAGTTGGCCTTGCAAAGTTTCTCATACTAATGTCTGAGAACTTGTGCCAAAATTGGGAAAGCTGTCCTATGAATTAGTCAAACAATAATTTGACATAGTTAAAACCACCAAATTATACTTTACACTCTTGACACTGGATTCCATGAAGCCTGTCAACATCAGTTCAAACATAGATAAGGAAGCTGACTATCACTTTCTGCCTTCCCTCAACCGATGAATAAGAACTCCCTCTTGTTTGGACGAGGAACTTCATCGTCTATCATCAAGGGTGGTTGGATAGCACCACTACTGACCGAGCTTACTGAGTCTTGAACAGCGTGTCAGCCGGACTGGGCCTGGAGCAGGTAGTGAAAAAAACCAACCTGAGGGAGAAAGCTACTTGACGTTGTCCTCACCAGTTTATCTCTTGCAAATTTATCTGTCCATGACAGAATTGATAGGAGTGACCACTGCACCTTCAAGTGGAGATCAAAGTCCCATCTTTTCATTGAGAATACCCTCCTCCATCTTATGTAGCTGTACCACAGTCCTACGTGGGATTACTTGAGAACAGAACTTGCAGTGCAAAACCATGCATTCATGAGGTGCTGTGGGTGATTGGCAGTAGCAGAATGTATTGTTTGGCATATCTCTCACTCTACCATTACTGTCAAATTAGAGAGTCCTGAATCAATAAAGGGTAAGGTAGGAGCCTTAAAATGAGGTGCTAACCTGGTAAACTTACAACACCAGACTCCCTATAGCAGCATAAGACATGGGCAATTAATAGAGTTAAAGTGATTGCATAATCTGCAGATCAGACCAGAGCTCTGTAGTTCTACTATATCTGTTCATGAATGGTGGCGGACAAATAATGGGAAGAGAAGGTTCCACAAACACGTCCATATTTAAAGATGGAGAAACCCAATAGGTCAATACAAAGGACGAGACTGATGCACTTGCAACCATTTTCAGCTAGATTTTCTAAGCGCATGATCCATCTTATCCCCTTCCTTAAGTTTCCACTATCACAGACAATGCTGCACACGTGCAGTCATTCCGATATTCCGCACCAATTTCAGCATTGACTTCTGGTTCCAGAAGCTGCTGTGTGCAAGGGCTTTGAAGGCCCTTGCAACTGCTAAGAAAGATAGAGGAAAAGCTGATCACAGATTCCTGATTTTAATCAATTCAGTTCACTTCTTGTGATATTGAGAAAAGGTTGAGTACACGCAATAAGGTTGAGGCATGGGCCCTGACCACATCTTCACAGGACCCCTGAAATCTTGTGCTCAGAACTAGCCATGCCGTTAGCCACACTGTTCCAGCACAGCTACAACACAGTAGTCAATACACAGTAGACTGCTGTCAACCAGTAGTGGGCAAGTCCATTCCAGCTGATTACCACCCCCTTAGTCTACTCTCAGTGATCGTCTGAATTATAGATGGTATTAACTGATGTTCAGTTTGTTCTGCCAGGACTACTCTGCTCCATACTTCATGATTGCTTTGGTCCAAACATGGACAAACGAGTAAATTTTAGATGTGAGGCAGGAGTTGACTGCCCTTAATATCAAGGCTGAATTATACAAAAACTGAAACTGAGCAGGAAATTATATGCTGGCTGAAGCAATACTTAACAAAAGAAGATGATTATTGAAGGCAGATATTCTCAGCCCAAGATATTGTGCCCTTGACCCAACCATCTTCAACTGCTTCACCACTGATTTTTCCGTCCTCCATAACACCGTAAGTATGAATGTTAACTGAGGTAACACAAGGGTAATTAGGGATAGGCAATAAATGCTGACCTTGTTAGTTACAAAGGCATCCCATCAATTGCTGCTGCTTGTAGCTATTCTTGACAAAAGATCTGCTGCCATGCTCATCTATCTTGTGCCATCTTTGCATATTCAGTGTAGCTCACCTACACCCTCTCTGTGACAGACATCATCTAACTGCAACGGCTGACCTCTTTCTCTTCTGTCCTCTTCTTGGCCCTTTAGAAGAGATCTCTCTGGCTTTTCAATTCTAAACAAATGGCTGAAAAACTGACATTTTCATTTCCTGATGTCGCTTTGTAGGAGTTTATTTTTGTCTCTTGCAAATTCAGGTACTTCTTTGATTATCTTATGATCTGTATATGAAATTTTTAGCTCGCTTCTTAGCATCCATATTTCAGAGGTCTCTGTATTTTCCATATATCTTTGCTCATTGTCTAGATTTCTGAGGCATTCAGGAAAGTGAATGGAGTGTACAGTCGATTCTGCTATAACGCGATAGTTGCATTCCTACGCAATAAATATGTTATAGAAAATCATGCTATAGAAATAATGGGGCCTATAGGAAAAGCGGGGTTAAGGACAGACCACCAAAAAAATGACTCAAAAGCCGAACACAAAGGATAACACCGTTTGAATAAATGTTTAATTCATATGTAATAATGAAATGAAAGTAAATTTAACACCTTACCTTGGAAAGAATGTCAAGATGACTTGATGGGAGAGGAGGTTTTGAGATTGCTCTGTTGTTAATGCAGGGGTTGAAGGTCGTCGTCATCATCATCATCATCATCATCATCACCTTCAGGTGCAGTTTTAGTTGCAGGGTTAGGGCGAAAAATAGTAAATCCAGAAGTGGATGGCTGTGGTTCATTGTCTTCTGACTGTTTCTTGGGGGTTGGCTTAAAAATGACATTCAGATTTTGCTGCTTTGCCCTTTTTCTTCTTTCATGAAGAAGCTGTTCATAGGGTGCCAAATAAGATCCTATTCCATGAAAGAAGGCATTGGCACCCAGCAGCACAGTCATGTGATCCTTTGCCACCTTAAAGCCTGGAGCGTGTGCTTCATTTGTAGAAATGTAAGTTCCTGATGGCATTCACTCCAGTATAAACCTGTCTCATCCATATTGAAAATTTGATCTACGTTGTAGCCTTCGTTGTCAATTAATTTTTTTACTACTGGAGGAAATGCCATCGCGTACTCCTTGTCTGCTTCGCCACATAACTTTATGTTATGAAAAGCATAGCAATTCTTAAAACCAGCAAACCAGGCACTGCTCACACACAAGGCAGACGAATCTGCAGGATTGTCAGCTTTTTTTTGTTAGATCTTCATAAATTGATAAGGCTTTCTCTTTTTTGGTGAGAAAGGTGGTCCCAGATCACTTTTTTGTTTGACCTTCTATCCACAAACTTAGAAGCCGCTCCATCTCCTCAAGTTCCTTTGTCTGTGACCTCACAGATTTGTTTACACTCTGACTTGTTATAGCAATGCGGCTTACTTTAGTCTTCTCTGCGTTGTCTCCTTTATTCCTGTTATGTGAACTATATCACATGTTCTCTCATTGCGCTCAAAACACTTTAGAATCATAGAATCCCTACAGTGTGGCAACAGGCCCTTCGGCCCAAGAAATCCACACCGAACCTCAGAGCATCCCACCCAGACCCATCCCCCTATAACCCACGTAATCTACACCTCCCTGAACACTACGGGCAATTTAGCATGGCCAATCCATCTAACCTGCACATCTTTGGACTGTGGGAGGAAACCAGAGCACCCGGAGGAAACCCACGCAGACATGGGGAGAATGTGCAAACTCCACACAGTCGCCCGAGGCTGGAATCAAACCCAGGTCCTTGGCGCTGTGAGGCAGCAGTGCTAACTACTGTGCCACCGTGCCGCCCTTTAGATCATCTAGCTTCTCTTCCAGTGTTATAGCCTTTCTTTTATGCTCACTACCCACAATTTTATCACCAGGATGCTTATTGCTAACGTTCTTATCACTTTGTCCTCGCATCTTTGTGGATAATACGGCAGAATTTGCAAAAAAACCCCAAAAATCATGGAGTATTGTACCACTCTCAGAAAGCGCTTCATGACAAAGTCTGCAAAATGATCACATGATGCCGGTGCAGAGAATCTTTTGGCGCTAACATTGCGCGTATTCAGGATAAAGCCTGCGAAACGATCATGTGAGGCCAGTGCAGAGACTCTTTCAGCACTGACATTGCACATGCTCAGGACAAAGCCTGCAAAACGACCATGTGATGTCGACGCATACTCCTCTGTGCACCAAAGAAATCGTGTTACAGCCAACACAAGTTCGCTTTTTAGAAATAATGTTCCCTCATTCATCAGTCATGTTATAGCCGGAACATGCTTTATAGCAAAACTGACTGTACTATCTTTGAGTTTTCTTCCTTGTGACAAGCTTGAGTCATCTTTGTTGTAAATAAAACGTTAAACTTCATGAAATAATGTCTGGCCATCTGTTTTCTTCTTCTAACTCCTGCATCACATCTTCTATTATCATTTGTTGTAAGAAGTAAACTTATCTGCTTGTGCTGGTGTGATGCCATCCACCTCTATTTCTATTCTAGCTTTTTCTAATGTAATCCTTCAAACTGGTATTGTTTTGTCTTTTTCTTTCATATTTGATGTATATTCTAAACTTTGAGATTTTACTTGATCTACAATATTTTGTTGGGCCTCTTTTGATTCTGCACTTTACTGCTGTGTTGTTAGCATATTTGCTACATTTTTGCCTCCATTTATACCCCAGGACTGTATCTAATTCTTTCAATACTTATCTCTGTGTATACATTGAATTTTTGATGATTGTGCACAGCCTTGTCAGACACCTCTCTTCACTTTTTGAAATAGATCTAATTGTACCTCTCCCAGCTTAATGTTCACTATTTGTTCTCAATATAGGCTCTGTATAAATCTCATCTTTATGTCATTGTTGCATTTCAGCCACGTCTACTATGTTCTGATTAACACTATCAGATAGGCAATGAAGCAGATATAAATGTTCTTGTCTAATTTTAGATATTTATTGAAGATTGTTCTTAGATTAAGTACCATCCCTTAAATACCATCCCTTTTTCCTACTCAGATCTAAATCCAGACAGTGTCTCACCAGTCTTTACTTCATATGTGTTATTTTTATATTTAGGCAAACTGTAGGTGTTCCAAGTGACTTGAGGCATTTGTTATTTGTTAAATTACCTAAGAAACCTAAAGCAATGCAGTGCAATCATTTTAGAACTATTCACTTAATGAGTTATCTCATTAAAGTGATCTTGAAAACAATGATGGAAAGAAAGCACGTTGAAGCAGAGATCCCATGAACAAGGAAAAGATTTCACAAAGTTGTTGGTTAATCATAGCAATCCATCTCCGTTAAGTAGTCTACAATAAATCCAGTCTTGAGGCAAACAAAAGAATGGAGGTTCAATGTACCTTAGCTGGCCAACACTGTTCAGGGTTTTATAAACCATTTCAATTTTAATTTGTCTGTATGATCTGTTTCAAAGGTCCAAATAACTTGCAAGCTTGAGCTATTGAAGGAGAATACTGAACTGCACTTTGGAATTACATCTTCCTTTGTTATTTAATGATGACTTTTTAAATTTGACTTTGCAGTATAGTACTGAGAAAATACTGCAAAAGAGATGCTAAACTGAGGCCCTATTTGCTCCCTTTGGATGGAAAAGATCCACCTGGCATTATTTCAAGATGATCAAAAATTATCCCTGGTGTCCTAAACTGTATTTCTTCCTGAATGAACATCATTAAAGTAGATTATCGGATGATTATCTTATTGTTTGTGGAAGTTTTCACCACACAACTTGACTGATATGTTTCCTACATTACAATGTGATTGAACTTTAAAAGTATTTAATTGACTGTAAAGCACTTAAGGGTTTCCTGAGGATGTGAAAGGTGCTAAATAAATGTTTTCATTTATTTCCAGTATTCAGAGCAGGTTAGAACTGAAGAAGAAATTGGCCTGTAAACCATTTAAGTGGTACTTGGAAAATGTTTATCCTGAGCTAAGGTAGGTTATGCATTCAGTTCTGAATAACTCTTATCCCTGGCACTGTAAACTATTTGTCCCTGTTGTTTGCTACAGTTCTGTATCATAACGAGCTCTGAATAAGTTTCAAGCATTTAACCTGCACTGTTCACGGAAATTCTTTCTCCAAACACTTCCAAAAGTGAGCTAGAACCTCATTTTATGGAACAGGTTTCCTGACTGAGGTTTTATGTAATGCAACACCTATATACTTTCCAGAGACCTTCAAAGAGATCTTCAGGCAAACTTTTATCTTGTCTGAAGAAGTCCCTGTTACTTTTTCCAACATCAGTGCCCGCTATTTATTGGTGTTTATGTGAACGTGATTTGCCCACTATGTATGGTGCAGCACTATGGGGTATAATGGGGTAGCACTATGATAGACCTTAACTGTATCATTGACATCTACTCGACAATATGGAAAATCGCTCAAGTATGCCTTATACCTAAAAAGCAGGGCAAACCCAGCCCACCAATTATCATCCAATCAGTAAAGTGATTGAAGGTGTTATCAACACTGCTATAAAGCAAAACTCGCTGAGCAATAACCTGCTCAGTGATGCCCAGTTTGGGTTCCACCAGGGCCACTCAGCCCCTGACCTCATTACAGTCTTAGTTCGAACATGGACAAAAATGCTGAATTCCAGAGGTGAGGTGAGAGTGACAGCCCTTGACATCAAGGCTGCATTTGACTGAGTGTTGTATCAAGGAGTAGCAAAACTGAAGTCAATGGGAATCAAGGGTAAAACTTTCCACTAGTTGGAGTCATGCCTGGCACATAGGAACATAGTTGTGGTTGTTGGAGATCTGTTGTCTCACCTCCAGGATAACTGCAGGAGTTCCTCAGGGTAGTGGCTAGGCCTAACCATCTTCAGCTGCTTCATCAATGACCTTCCCTTCACCATAAGGTCAGAAGTGGGGATGTTTGCTAATGATTGCACAATGTTTAGCATCATTCCCAACTCCTCAGATACTGAAGCAGTCGGTGTTCAAATGCAACAAGATCTGGATGATATTCAGGCTTGGTTTGGAAAGTGTCAAATAAGAATTCAAGACATGCCAGACAATGACCTCCAATAAGAGACAATCTAGCCGCTGCCCCTTGACTTTCAATAGCATTACTATCACTGAATCCCCCACTGTCAACATCCTGGACATTGCCATTGACCAAAAACTCACTGGACTTGCCAAATAAACACAGTGGCTACAAGAGCAGGCCAGAGGCTAGGAATATTGCAGCAAGTAGCTCACCTCCTAACTTCCCAAAACCTGTCCACCATTTACAAGGCACAAGTGCGGAGTGTGATGGAATACTCCCCACTTGCCTGGATGACAACACCAACAACACTCAAGAAACTTTACACAGTCCAGGACAAAGTAGCCTACTTGATTGGCACCACATCCACAAACGTCCACTCCTTCCACCAACAATGCTCAGTAGCAGCAGTGTGTACTATCTACAAAATACACTGCAGAAATTCACTGAAGATCCTGAGACAGCACTTTCCAACCTATGACCACTTCTATCCAGGTGGATAAGGGCGGCAGATCATGCACTGTGGAAACAGGCCCTTCGGCCCAACAAGTCCACACCAAACCTCAGAGCATCCCCCTATAACCCACCTAATCTACACATCCCTGAACACTATGGGCAATTTAGCATGGCCAATCCACCTAGCCCGCACGTCTTTGGACTGAGGGAGGAAACAGGAGCACCCGGAGGAAACCCACGCAGACACAGGGAGAATATGCAAACTCCACACAGTCGCCTGAGGGTGGAATCAAACCCGGGTCCCTGGTGCTGTGAGGATGCAGTGCTGACTACTGAGCCACCGTGCCGCCCCACATACGGGAATATCACCACTTGCAAGTTCCCCTCCAAGCCACTCACCATTCTGACTTGGAAGTGTATTGTTGTTCCTTCATTGTCATGGGTCAAAATCCTGGAATTCCCTTCCTGACAACATTGTGGATACACCTACAGCAAATGGACTGCAGCAATTCAAGAAGACAGCTTACCACCACCTTCTCAGGGGAAACTGTGAATGGGCAATAAATGCCATACTTAATGCCATCTGTATCCCACACCACCGAGCAGAGAACTCAAGCACACAAAAGATAATTGAATTTGTTTGTTCCTGCATTCAATGGACTTTAATGTGATATGAGCCAATAGAGTGCACAACTGCTTCTGCTCAAATAAATAGAATATTTAAGAAGCAACTTCAGAATTAAATAAATGAAAAAGTTTACCCTTTGATGTAAGCATCTGCTAAATTGAAATAGGAGAGACTGGAATAATTTAGTAGATAACATTCACCTTCCTTTTTTGGTTCATAGCAATACATTTGAGTAAGTTTGAGGCACTTAATGTTGGAGTGTTACATACAGAGAAGTTTTATTGATATATAAAACATATCAGTTTAACTGAAAATACAGAGCAGTTCTGGAAAAGTCATACCTGACTCAAAATGTTAACTCCGTTTCTCTCTCCACACATGCTGCTAGTCCTGCTTTGTTTTGCCACCGTTTTCTGTTTTTGTTTCAGATTGCCAGCATCTGCAATATTTTGCTTTTATCACGGAGAGAGCAGCTTTAGTTTTCAATACCTTTCAAACCTTCTCAAGAGCTGTTGAAAATCATTCTCTTTTATATACATTAAATTTCACCTACATCAAAGATACATGTCATGGATAAGACTTTTATTCCCAAATAGCTTAAAGGCAATATATTGACACAAATAGTTGCAGTGGCGCAGTTCAAAGCTCCTTTCCTCAAACAAACCTTCGACTTAACTGTTCCTGGCTCCTTTTGAAGAGATGACTATCTTGATCATTATCTTTTTATACTGTGGTTAATATGTCCCTCTACCTAATTATTATTCATTCCCTCAAAAGTGTACCATAATCACTTATGACAGACAGACTTCATTACTGTCCCTTTTTTCTTTGCTTAAGCACTTCTTATACGTGATGCTCAAACACTAAAAGCAAAAGACAAGTCATGCTTTTATACTTTACATCCATCCAAGTTTATCTTGAAAAGTCAGTTGCTCTAAGACATAAAGTTTGATTGGTAACCCTCAATCGCCAACATCAGTGTTCAACATTTAACTCTTGAGGATATGTAGCAAGAGTTATTGTGACTGGCACTGGTATGGTGGACATTGAACTTTACTGTTTTCCATTTGGTATGTAAAGAAAGGAAGAAAGAAGTCCAAGTTAAATCTGAGTGTATGTACTTCCTGCTGGGTGGTCACACTGTGCAGAGACAAGCTTAACAATAAGTAGCGGCACCACCCTGTGTAGAAAATGGTACAAGAAGAAATAACAGATTAAAAAAGCATATGGGGGGAGGGGAGGAACCAGCACCAGATGGAAAATGCTTCAACATCCTACTATTCATGTGTGTATATAGGAGCGTTTTTCTTGACCTGGGACAAAGACTCAGGAGGCAGGCAGGATTGAAGCAAGTGGAAAATGTTTATTCAAGCAGAAACTGGTTTATGCAGAGAGACGCCCAAATGATATTCCCCGAATCTGGCTTTGGAAGATAGCTCAATGTTGCACCCTCTGCTTTTACATTTTGTGTTACAGTAATCAAGTACAACATAGTCATCATTGTTTCCCTTAATTCAAACACCTAATCCTGTGGGACCTCTAATCAGTGATGGGCACTTCCATGGACAGCCCCAGGTTCCCATGATCTTATGGTATTAGCTGGACACTGTAATCCCTAGGTCTTTGGATCTTACCATGCATCCTATTCATTCACATTCCAAGAGTTCAATGGCTATACTTCATCGTGTCTTTCTCAGACTTGTTTATCTGTACGGACAGCTCAAACTCTATTACCCATTGTATTTTGGTGCTGTCTTTTATCACATTCAGTTACTCTTTTTATTTTCCCACTATCTCAATTACATAATGTAAAAATAAAAAGTCAGTTAGTTTTAACTAATTGCTATAAGGTTAACTTCTGTTATAAAGTTAATTATAAGTCTAACGTTATATAATTACTTCTACTGTCAGCATTTTGTAATTTATGGGTTGTGATCCATCTATCTTGTTCTGGGCATAAGAGAAGGTATCTTCTACAGCTAGTTAATCTTTACATCTAAGCTTAAATTTTTTTTTAAGGCTTGTATTATATTCTGGTTATGTATTGAAACC